ATTGTCATCTTATCTTATTATATGACTATTTTATGCATGTGTCAAAGAATTTAAAAATGACTGCCTGTCTATTGAGTCTAATTACAAGAGCACATTTTCTGCCTGGATGTTCAAGCCTCCACCATTGTTACCAAATAAAATATATTGTATTCACCTTTCATTTCTACCTTCAGACACAGAAACCACCATTTAGAATGTTAAGAAAAGCATGAGCCTGCACCGGGAGCCTCTCCCAGGGTCCCTGGTTTGGCCTGGCCTCGCTGCACTCAGGATGTAGGTAAGGGCAGAATGTTATTTCCAGGACCAGCACCTACAGTGGGCCGGATACTGGCACAGAAGTGTAGACACAGACCACCCCACGTTTTGTTTTTTAGCTACCAGGCCAAAGCTATGCATGGGTTGTTCAGTGGCAGGTAAGAACGGAAACTGAGCCTGGAGGGAAACCTCAAAGGCTGCACCTTGAGGGCCTGATAGGCTTAAAGGAGGCTGTAGCATCAGGACCATGGCACACTCGCCAGTTGCTTCCTTGCTCTTCTCCGCGTCTGTGTTTTGCAGCCAAGCCAGACCTCAGTCTGCAGCCCACATATAAAACACAAAGCACCCGAGAGCAAGAGTGGATCCCTACACCGAACACGTTCCTTCTCCTTGCAGAAGTGTCAGGCTTGGACTGAAACACGGGTAGGCATCCTACCCACTCACCTGCATTTCACAGTGTCTCCCCAGGCCCTGACCACCGTCATCTCCCATCCTCGTCAGTCCACTAACCAATCTTTAGCAAAAGAGAGGAAACGCAAGAGTTCCTAGGCGAGCAGGAGAATGTCTTGATCTATCAGCTGCTGGCTCCTTCACTCACACTCAAGCACACCCAAGAACAAAATGACAACAACCTCCGCTCACAATCAAGGGTTGCCCTGGAGTGCACCGAAGCCCTCCCTGACAGCTGTCAGGATCATGGAGTGGGGGGACACAGAATCTGAATTCTGGAAGGTTCTCTTGCCCAGGCAGAGGCCCACAGGAAGGTTCCTTGACTTGTGTTTTTCCCTTCATAGACTTGATTTCTTTTTTTCTTTTTATATGTATATAGTTCCCTTGGTTTCAAAGGAAATGAGAAAATAAAAAAATAATAATAAAAGACCCCACACAGGCCAGCCATAGCCAGTTCTATGCCACCTCACCGTAGAGAAGACTGCCTGTCCAAAGGAAAAATATGTGGCAGGCCTGAGAGGAAATAAATTCCCAAGGCAGATGCGGGCATGTCGTCCTGGGTGCTCAGGGCTTCTAAGAGAAAAGGCAAAAGCTGCCTCCGGGAGCTGCCCTAAGTACTAGGCAGCTTGATGAAGGTGTCATAGGCACACACCAGGTGAGCCACCTCTTAGGCGGGCCCCTTCTCAGGCATGCGCATGTCCACTGGCAATGCCAGTGACCTTCTTCCTATACCAGGGAAGCCCACAGAGTTCAGTGACACCAGCTGATCCTAGTCCCTTTTATAAAAGTCAGGAGGCTTGAAGACTGACCCTCACAATCACAATGCTACCCCCCCTCAAGAACGCCATAGAAGAATATTCCTTTGAGAGGAAAAAAAAATAATCTAAAAGTCGCTGATGAGTTATTGCTCACTGAAGATTTTTTAAAAAGTCGAACAGTGATGTTCTGTGATCTATCCTCCAGAAAATATATACACGTGGATAAAATAAAACATGCTGTTACGGATTACTCTAATTCTGCACTGCTATTTTCTGAAAATACTTATTTAAAAACAAACAGGGTGGCTGGGGGAGGACCCTATATTAAGCAAGGAATAAGGGCTATTTTGCTTAAAGAACACTGGCCAGTGCTCACCCAGCTCCAATGGGTAACAACAATCTTTCCAGTACAAATGTCTGGCCCTTTTATCGTACATGCTCCGAGGAAGCAAACTCCTGCCCAGATTTCTGTCCAGCAGGTGAAGAAACTCCTCTTTCTTTCCCATTCTCCCTCTCTGCAAAGAAAAAAAAAAAGACGACTCCCAATCCTGCATAATTTCTATTTTCAAAATCTAAATTGCAGAAATCCGTCTTTTCAGGGATTCTTGGAGCCTGCTTCGGCCTTTCGGGGAGCTCTGTTACATTTGGCCTAGATAGAAAGCCTGCGTGCACCTGTGTGCTTAGTCTGCAAGCTTCTCCCCAGCTCTGGGCCCTTTGTGGTTGTTATTCTACCCCAGACCATTAAAAGGGCCCTAATTCCTATGACATGATTATCCAGGTACCAAAGCCCATTTGTCACCTGCAGCAGAAAATTGAGTTAATGCACAACTAAAGGCAGCCAGGACTGTGTAATATCAACTTGATTACATCAAACTAGCTGCAAACCTAATTCTGCTGCATGACACTGCGTCAAGCTTGTCATCTCCAATCATTAAAGCTGTCAGGAATCCATCAGGTTTACAGCTAATTAGGTGAACACTAATGAAGCTGGCAAAACAACTTTTCTTTTTTTATGGCTGAGCGGACCTTTCAGTTTGGTGTGTGTGTGGGGGTGTGTGTGTGTGTGTGGATTCTCGAGTATTCTCAAGGTTGCTGTGGACAGGATTTCCAGTCACCAATCAGCAGACATCTTTCTTTTTCCCACTGTCTCTCTATCGGGACAAAGCAATCAATTTGTCATCACTCCCAGTATGTCCCCAAAGCAGCTGTGGGAACTTAAAAAAAAAAAAAGGAGGGAAAACAGAGAAGTTCCTCGTCGTGTCCGTCCATGCAAACAAGCAAACAAAACAAAACCGGCAGCTCGCACAGCTCACTTACTGGCCTGTGCGGACTCAGAAGCAGCCTAAATGTGGTAGGGTTTTGTGTGGAGCTTCTCAGTCATCCTGCACCCCTCCTCCACACGTCCATTAGGCAGAGGCATTCTGATAAAGTAAATCCAAAACCAGGGTATGAGAAAGAATGAAAGCACTCATTCTGCCAACTTCTGATTGACCATTAAGCTATTGATGAATGTGCCTGTCAGGAGAGAGACAATTAAATCAAATATGAAACAAAGTCGTTGTGACGGGTCATTTTGATAGAGCAAAGCCATTCTTCCATCTCCCATTAGTCCTGCAGTCAGGTTTTTATAGAATGAGTTTTCCCTAACTGACCTAAGATTTCCTGGCTGGCTTAAAAGTGCAAAAAGGTTAGTGAACAGGTTGCTTCAAAAAAAACAAAACAGAACAAACACATAAACAGAAATCAAACTAACAGCACGTTTGAGAAACTTGTCATACAGGCAAGGTGGAAGAGTGCAGATACACTACAGAGGTCAAAATGAAAAGTAAAGAAGCAACCACATATGTTTCATTGGATGGAGGCAGAGATACCTTAAAAAATGTGTACCCGAAAAGGAAAGAAAAAAATATCTCAGACTGGAATAAGCCCAAGACATTCCTACTACCCAACTTTGTAAAGGATGCCTCCAAAGTTTTAGAGTTTATTTTGGGTAGATAAGCTCACTGCTAAAGCCTGGAATTTAAAGGAGGAGGTAGGATGAGCAGACAGCATCAGTGAGGAGGTGAGCTCTCTGTTTGGGATCTTCAAACTTTCTAAATTTGGGTAACACCGAGCACAGAGGAAAACACGCATTCATTCTATGCACCAAACCAAGTTTAATCCCTCCTAAGATTTCTTCACAACACTGACAGGCCAGTACACTTCTGGGAGAAGTACCTCATGGTTCCTTCTCTCTGACCCTGGTAGAGACTGCAGGCCAGAGTGCAGCAGAGGTGGAAGTCAGGCTGATCTAATGGTCATCACCACCACCAGCAGCCTGGGTACCACCAGCATGCAGAACATTACTTGATGACCCTTCTCTCAGCCCTCCCCTCTTCTATCAAAATCGAAGTGAAAAGGAGGCAGAATAACGAAAAGGACTCCTAAGTAGCCCTCCCCTTCAGGCAGCATCTGAGCCTCTGCATGTCTGAGTGTTATTCATATCAAAATACATCACGTCCATATGTGGTCCTCTCTCAGCAAGCCGCCCCAAATCCCTGAAGTTGCACTGACAGGGCCCTCCTGACGTCACGGAGCTTGGCCTCACTATTGCAAGTGATTTATTGATGTTTATTGGGAATGAATAGATCAAAGGCACAGGCATGACGGGCGATCAATCAGTCATCAAATCAAGGGTGGCAACCGGCCAGAAACCCTTCTTCCAGTCAACGTACCCCCAACCGACATTATTGCAAAATAATGTTGTATGTGTGCGTTTTGTTTTGTTTTCAATGATTCTCTTTTCCAGAAAGAAAAAAAAAATCAACTCAGTCCTAACAGGAGTTGACGTTCCTGGCGGAAAAAAAGGGGGGGGGGGCTCAGATATGTCCCAGAACTAAGTGCTAGAAGAGGGTAGAGAACAGCAGCGGAAAGAGAGGGAGGGGGTAAGAAGACATTCACGAGTAAAAGAAATGTCAGCATCCAACACTGACCTGACAGTCATCTGACAATACCCAGACTCTGTGCGCTCTGGTTTCCACCGCTGTACCCGGTTTGGGCCCAATAAATGAAGAATCAATCGAATTAGCGGTAAGGTGGCCAGAGGGATCGGCCAGCTCACTCCCTCGCTAGCTCTAGTCCGTGTAGGCACTGGGTAGTACCCAGGACAACACAGAAGGTGTCCCAAAGAACTCAGGTGACCCCGCCCGCCCCCCACCAAAAGACACGGGTTGGAGAGCGCCTTCCCTGCTGCAGCCAAAGAGGCGGAGGTGGGGACCAAACCCGGCTCGGTCGTCCCCGGGAGGGTGTGCGAGCTGGTCGAGCGGAGAGCTTAGCGGGGCAACCGGGGGGCGCGCGCACCCCGGTAGTAAAGCCGCGAGCCTACCGGGCTCCCGGAGTTACTCTGCGCCCGCAGAGAGAGAGAGAAGAGAGGGAGAGAGAGAGGGAGAGAAAGAGGCGAGGAGTGTGGCGAGCAGTGCGGGGGCCGGCAGCCCGGAGGCGCGGCGCGAGCAGAGGAAGAGGAGGAGGACTGGAGGAGGAAGGGGAAGCCGCTCGTACCTGCTGCGCGCCGGGGCGCCTGCTGCTTCCTCCTCGGCATGATGCTTCTCCCGCGACTGCCGCCGCCGCCGCTGCCGGGCTGAGCCGAGGGAGGGAGGGGCGGCGGGGGGGGGGCGAGGCGGGCCTGCTCGCAGCCTCCCCCCCGGAGAGCGGCCGCCCGCAGGATGCTGCTGCGCCCCGGCTCTCCGCTTCCCCCCCTCGCTGCGCTCCGCCGCGATCCCCGAACGTGCGGAGGGAAGGAGGGCGGGCGAGGGAGGCGCGGGGAAGGAGGAGCGCGGGGGGAGGAGGAGGAGGAGGCAGAGGAGGAGGAGGAGGAGGACCACGCTGCCGGCGGAATGGGAAGTTTGACAAATCGCTCCAGAGGCCCAAGGAGGAGGGGGCGGGGAGGAGCGGTTGCCCTGCCCCCCCCCGCCCCGTCCCTAGACGAGGTGCGCGGGGTTCGGGGCTGGGGGGCGGGGAGAGGGGGAGGAGAAGGCGGGCAGAAGGATGAGAGGAGGAGCCCGGGAGCGACCCCGGCCGGTCCTGCCCCGCTTCCCGCCCCCGGGCAGGGAGGTCAAGGCATCCGGGGGTGGAGGTGTCCAGGGGGGGTGGGGGGGCGCAGCCGCCGCCGCGGCCCGGGGCTCAGCGGTCCAGTCTTCTGCCCACGGCGCGGCTGGAGCGGCGGCGTCGGCAACAGGCAAGCTTAAAGGAAAAGGAGATGATCGTGTCACTCGCCTGCCCGCGGGGGCGCCCCCAGCCCCGGCCCCGGTGCCTGCCTAGGACCCCCGCCCAAGTCCAGGCACCCAAAGCAGGCCCTCAGCCTCCGCCCCGAGCGCTCACGCAGGGGCGCGGGCCCGCCCAGCCTAGCCCGTCTGGGGGAGCCCGCAGCCCCCGCCCATCCCTCCTTCCCCACCGGGGCTCATCCTGGGGCTGCTCCCGACTGCCCCTCCCGGCCCGCACTCCTCTCCACCCGCCGCGTGCAAAGCCTGAGAGTGCTCTCCAGCTCGGGATGGTGCCCCTTCAAAGATCCCAGGGCCCCGGGGCGCACCAGAGAGAGGAGGCAGGGCTACCAAGGGTGTGGGCCCTGGGGCTCTTCTCCTGGGACACACCGTGGCTACCTCCATCTGTTTTTTCCCCTTAGGCAAACTTTCTCAGGCGTGTTTCGGGGGTCAGCATGGGAGGGGGCACCTCTAAGTTTCCTTTTCTGACTTTGGGACGATCACAATCTCTGCTCCCCGCGTCTCACCCCCTTGGGCTCTGGCCGCGCCCCCCACCCATGGCGACTGCGGGTTCCAAGGCGGGACGGGGGCGGCAGAAGAAACTCGGGATCCCCTACCCAACCCCCACCCGTGTGAGCCCCGGACAGGGGCCGCCTCAGCCGCGCCTGGTTTGGGGGCAGTTCTGGACGAAGGGGATTGATTATTGATTGGGTGATTGGGGTTGCAGAGGCTGCAGGCGGACCCGGCCGAGGCGCCCAGGGAAGGAGGTGGCTGGCGCGGTTGCGTAGGCGACAGGGTGACGAGGACTCACTTACTTTAGTGGTGAGGGCGCCGGTGGGTTGGAATTCACGCGGGCGACCCTCGGGCGGCGGCGGTGGAGCGGCAGCCAGAGCCCGAGCGGCGCGGGCGGCGGCGCATCGATGCGCTGCGGGCTCGATTGCGTCTCCCTGGGCCAGCTCTTAGGCCGAGAATGGGGCGGCCGCGGCGCAGCGGGCTCCGGGCGCTGCTGGGCGGTGGTGGCTAGGGTGGCCTCTGGGCCCCCAGCTCCTCGGAACAGCACTGAGTCTGGGTGCTCTGGCTGGGTCTCTGGCACCAGTGCAAGCCTCAAGGCCCACAGTCCACCCGAGGGCCCGCGCCCTGCGCCCCAGGACTAGCCGCCTGAGTGCACTGGAAGCTGCCTGGCCTTCCTTGCTTGCTGCTGTTCTTCTTTTTCTTCTTCTTCGTTTTCTTATTATTTTAAACTTATTCTTCTCTTCCCCCTTCTTCAGCCCTGTTTCTTTTTCATGCTTTCTTGTGGTTGCTTTTCCAAGTTTTGAAAGTTCACAGCGTGCTTTCTTTTTCTTGTAGACCTGGAGACCAAGATCTCACCCTACCGGTAAGATCAAAAGTCTCCGCTCTCCCCCGGCCGGCGGGCTTGGGCTGGGTCCAGATGCCTGCCTGAATGCAGATGTGCGGCTGCTGTCCTCCCAGGCTATAAAGCCCGCTCCAGCGCCTAGGCGCGCGGGAGCTCTCTGAGTTAACCCGATGCGGATCCCGGGTGAAGCCGAGAGCTCGAGGCAGCTTGAGGCCGGGTCCCGGGCAGCCTGTGTGTGTGGCTTACTCGTGGGTGGGTACACCCGAGGCGTTTGGTGCTTATGGTCGCAAAGGCCAAAGCGGCTTCTCTTCCAGGCCGGTGAGACGCGGCCCCAGGGCGCGTAAAGCTTCTTGCGAGCGAGGGATCGGTGAGTCGGCCGACCCGGCCGTTGGTCTCACGGTTCTGGTGGCCACGGGACCCCTTTGGCCTGGAGGAGGATCATTGCAGCTGGAGGTCAGACCCTGAAGGTCCCGGCTTACGTTCCAAGCACGGAACACCCGTTTAGGCACGCCGGCGGCGACGTGCTTACAGTGCTGGGCAACACGCTCTGGGAGTTCACCCAAAGGATGCTTCCCTCTCCCTTTGCTTTTCTTCGCCGCTCTCAACCTTCGTTCCTTCGCCGCGCACCCCTAACCCGTGCCGCTGCGGCCTAAGAGCCGGTCCCCTTGTTGCCTGCCGGCACCCCTGCTCGCCAATGCTTAGCCCTCCCTGCTCAGGCACCGCGCTCTGTGTGATCCGCCCTAACATCTGTCCGTCCAACCATTGGTGCATCCATCAGTGTCAATGGGTTGCACATTGCAGCGACAGCCTGTCACGCACAACTCGGGCTGTGCGGAGTGCACACTGCGACCACATTGCCTTGCCCGGTGGGGCACTCACACAGAGTCGATCTGCTTGGCACTGCCTGGATTACTGATTTCTGCTGAGTTCTTTTAGCTACATGCACCTATTCACCCTTAACTTGGGGATCACAACGCGTGCATAGTTTTTCAGGTCATTTTGGGGATGGAACTGAGAAAAGTGGGCAAGGTCAACCTAGTCCTTTTATTTCACTAGGATTTATCTTCTTTTCTGCGGCAGGACTCGATGTAACTAAAAGAGAAAAGTTCTCCAAATTCTCACAAAATATACCCTGAAACTACCTGAATATGGGACCTTAAAAGTCCCTCAGCCTGGGCTAGTGCTGGGTTGTGGAGTTCGTCTGCTGCACTTAGCAAGCTTTCAAAGGGGAGGGGGAAGAACCAAAACCAAAAAAACTTTGCATAACCGGGGCTGACTGCTGCTCCCAGGGTCTGTTGGGGAGAAATGCGGACCGATGGACTCTCCGTGTAAACGAAGGATTCCATTTAGTGAGAAATTACATCTGGGGAGCTGTGGGTCTGTAACGTACTTATCATTACCAAAAAGGGCAGGACCTTGAGAAACCAGCACTCGCGGGTAGTTCCTGGCTACCTGGGCTACAGTTTCTAGTTCTCCCTTATGTACTTCTTAGCTTCCGGCTCCTTCTGCAACTACCCAGATGGTAAATACACACACACAGGTGTCCCTGATGAGTCTGGCCCTCCCCAAGGCCTTCTGTTTGCTCTAGGAACCTCAGGGGATGGGTATGTGCAGGTTCCTAGTCCTATGACGTCTGAATGAAGTCTACCCGGCATTTGACCTGACTTTATTATTATTGTAAATATTTCTGTCGTCTGTCCCGCCGGCAAGCAGCTTTTTCGGCAATTCATGTCGCGGTTAGGGAATTCCGAAGGGGAAAAGAGCCGCATTCGGGGGAGCGCCAAGGTTTGCTGAGTTCTGGAAAAGGCCAGGAAGGGTTTGGTGGGCACACTGGGGAAAGTAGCCTGTGCTGCGGGATCTAGGCTCCACACACAGCGATCCAGCTGTTTTCACACTCTACTAGAGGGCGGAAAAGCCCGCGCATGGTGGAGGAGAGAGAATTCTGTAAAGGATATACTACAGTAGAAATCGTTTACCCCGGTCTTTATAGAAGCTCGGTTATCTTTTAAAAGGAACAACAGGCTTTCAGTCTCCTTCCAAGTACCCAGGAACCTCTGATCCACTTAGAATTGTGCTGGGTTGTAATCTAAGTCAGATACGTCTAGCTTGAGATGCCGCATTTCCGGGGGAATAATTTTGTAAGCCCCTGAAAGAGAAGGAGGACGAAAGAGCTGAAGGAAGTGGAACAACTCACCTAAACACCCAATGGCAAATGCCCATGGTGGAAACTGTGAGCTGGCATCTCCATCAGGAGACTCACCTTGAAATTAGGTGGTCATATTATTAGCCCTTCGCGTTCCCTGCAGCCAAGAAGGTAATCCTGATCACCAAGACTGCACCTTAGACCCAGTGATGACAGGGTGGTCCACTGTCTCCAGATGGGGAACATCTGCAGATGTCTTCCAAAGAGAGTTGTCTAGATGGAGGGTTAGGCATCCTTACCAAGCTTTTTTCAATTTTGAACCCTGGGTTTCCATTCCTAGGACTTGTTTTTTTTCCATAGGTCTCATCCACTTAGGCTAACCTGAACCCCTTGAAGGTAGGGTATTATCAATTACAGCATGACTCCAAACAGGTGTTTGGAGGAGCAAGTGGCTGACCCCCAGGACAATATATTGTTGATACTTATATCATGGAAAGTAGTAGCTTGGCCACTGCCTGGGGTCAACCAAGTTTGTGTTCCAGGTGGCCACTGAGGGAAGTTAGATGGCAGCCCCTGAGGTCCAAACAAGGCTTGGGTGTGTCTTCAGTTGAGTGCCCACCAAGAAGAAGGTCCTGGGATGCTATGAAGCTAGGGTTGGCTGGTGTCCCAGAGACACTTAGGGCCTAACCTTTGATCTTAGAAGGGGGTACCTGCTGGGTCCATGAATGTGTCACCTTGAAGGGCAAGAACTCTGGAAGGCTTGGTGTTGGCATGGGCCTTTGGCAACAACCCAGGGGTGGGTCTTGATAGGGAGTCCCAGAAGTAGGTCCTCTCCCATCTGAAGTAATTGGAAAGCCTCATGGACCTGCCTTTCCCCCTCACTTTTCTGGGTTAGGCAGCGACTGGGAAGTGCCCTAGGTCCTGAGGACCCTACTACTTGC